GATGCCTTCCCATAGATTTTTCACATCTGTGTTTTCATCATTGAGAAGTGGGCCAAACCTTCTTCCAATATCTATTTCATAATTTGAGCGGACATCTGCTTCTTTGAGTTTGAAGACATCATATCGCTTTAGAAACTTGGGTTTTACTCTAACTTTAAATCTCAGTCGTAAGTTTGCAATGACTAACTGGTGATCTGAACCTATGTCAGCACTAGGGAAACTCCTGGAGTTGTTGATTGAGCTTTTCCATTTGCTGTTAATCATTATAAAGTCTATCTTGTTGTGAGTCTTTTGGTCAGGTGATTCCCATGTCCATTTTCTACTTGTTTTTGCTTGTTTAAACATGGTATTGGTGATAACAAGATCATTCGCTGCACACAAATTGAGTAGTTTCTCTCCTCTGGCATTTACCTTTCCATACCCATGTTTGCCTAGAACTTGTTTCAATTGTGAGTAATCGTCTCCCACTTTTGCATTTAGATCCCCCATCACTATCAGAATGTGTTTCTTTGGTGCAGAATTGATTGCTTCTTGAAGTTGGTCATAGAATTCGTCTACTAGTTCTTCATTATCAGCTGTATTTGGGGCATAAACTTGGATCACTGTGATGGCACCTGCTTGAGTCTGGAATCTGGCAGTGATCAATCTGGATGAAATAGGATGATATCCTAGGAGTGAGTTCTGGGCTGTTTTGTTCAGAATCAGTGCTACACCCCCTCTGTGTAGAGTTTCATTTCCTGAGCTTAGTATTTTGTACCCTTCTGAGGTAAACTCTCCCTTGTCAGTCCAATGTGTTTCTGATACACCTACTATCTCCCATTTAAAGTCGTTCAGTTGGTGAAGTAGGATTTCAAGGTTCCCTGGTTGATGTAACGTTCTCACATTCCAGGTTGCTATTCCAATTGTATTTGTTGTTGTTAGTAAAGCATCTCTTTTCCTTGGTTTATCAACACCATCTCTTCCATTTGGCTTTGGAGTTGGCACATCATGCTGCACTACTCTCTGTAGGCCCCCGGAAAGAAGTGGCAAATTAGTAGAGGCAGGGGCTTTAACCCTGGTGCTTTTATGGCTTTCCATCATGAAGTAGTTTCGCTCTAAACTAGCTAGGCGGATGAGTCAATCCTCTCCTAGCCACCCTAGTTCGTTCGTAGCTGGCAAATTTGATTGTCAGCTAGTCACCCCCACCGGCGAAAAGGAGAACCAGGACGTTTACCTGTATCCACACAAGTCGGTCGTCCCCTCACACTGAGTGCTACCAGTGACGGTTACCTCCTTGAGGTCTATCACAAATGTTAAGAGGATACTGGTTTTTCTGTATAGAGGGGGTGGTTCTGTATAGAGGGGGGTGTTACTTGTATTACAGTGATATACATGTATGCGTACTGCATTATTTACGTTTATATGTCATCTGGAAGATATCATTGCGTTTGAAATTGAGATTATTGAATATTGCTAATTCAAAAACATGTTTCTTTTGCAGTATTACAACTTTATTGTCATGTACATGACTTGTATCATAATGCGTGCCAAATATTTTCAACTCTTCCAGTTCAAGTGTGTGAATTTACAGTTTTGTGTGCTTCCAGAATGTGTTTTGGTTAGTTCATGCCATACGACAAGGACATTATTCATGATTCATTTGTATACAACTATTCTTTTTTTTGTTTTTTGTTTTTTTTGTTTACTCTGGTGATCCCCTCCTTACAAGCCCTTGAGGCTTTTTTCTGGACACCCTTTTCTTTCATTTATTTGTATTACTAGCTGTTATGTATGTACTACTCTGTTATCTTGATGTAAACATGAAATTATGCATGACATATTGTTAACTTTTTTTTTTTTTAATTGTACATATTGGAAGAAATAAATGAGAGCTATTATGCTCTCTCAATCAATCAAAAAAAATGTATTGGTTATTCCATTATAATAAATATAGTTATATAATCTCTTGTACGATTTTTAAAGCAATATATCTTGGCAATGTTTACAAACGTGCATTGCAATTTCCATATAATGGGTGTGTACAGGTGTAGTACAGTATATTCTGTTTAACATCTGCATTATCGGATGCATATTCTTCTGAAAGCGGGACGTTTGAAGCTCCTCAGTGTATCAACATATTACACATTTGTCAACCACTACCAGTTCATTATAAAGCCTTATTCATTATCAACTCACTAACCATTTGCATGCTTTTCCAGCCTATCATTGTTGGGATATGATTTTTGTTTTTGTATGATGTGTGAACCCCTTTTGCCATATTTTATAGTAGCTCGAAAATTCGTGTCTGTTGCATGGAGTGTTACAAGCCAAAGTAAGGTGCATCAGTTGTCTTTATAACTTGTTTCACATGTAAACGTGTTCTTAGCTTTGTATTTACATGTAGTTACATTTTCAATTTATGACTTGTTATTATCGTTTATTCCTTCATCTCTATTAAATGTATTTTTTATCTCATGGGTGTTCATATGTCTTTGAATAAAGTAAGCTAGTTTAGTCTGGAAGCTGACGTTGTTTTTGTTAACATTTTTAACATTAAAAACAATTCTCAAATTTCGAAGAAAAAATACCCAAAAGATTTTGCATGCCAATTTCATTCATGTTCTGTGCTGGACTATGTGTACTTGTAAATCTCTGATAAACGTTGGGAGGAGCGAGAGAGAGAGAGAGAGAGAGAGAGGGAAATATATATATATATAGAGAGAGAGAGAGAGAGAGAGAGAGGGAGAGATGGGTGAGAGGGGAGAGGGGAGGAGAGAGAGAGAGAGAGAGAGAGATAGAGAGTGAGAGAGCGAGAGAAATGTGAAATTTAATATGTACACATGTATTGGATGTGTGTGTGTGTTGGTGCATGTCCCAGTGTGTGTGCATTTGTGCAGTTTGTATACCTATATCTATATAGCATGAATGAGAGCGATACAGACAAACAGTGGGGACTGTAATATCGACAAAGGAAGACCCCTCTGTTCATTGCACGGGACACCCCTCACCACGCGTAATGGAAGAGGCCAAACCCTTGCACTATTGATGTTCACTAGTCCATAAACTGTCTGCATACAAAATATGGAGGCTGACTTTTTGTTCGTATTGCCCTAAAACTTTTCATGACGCGACTTTAGATTCAACTCTGGGTTTAAATTTTATTAGAAACGGGTCAATACATGATTGCTATCGTGTCTCATTTTTCTTTAGAATTGTGCGACGATTATTTATCCTCATGTCAATAGAAGTTAAGATAAAGCGAAGTGGTCTCTTACTCAGATTCGACAGGAATCAGATGTTTGTCTACAGAGTGGATATTACGTTAGGATGTAGGCCGGGAAGATCGCATGCTGTGTACGAGACTGTGGATGGCTTTTTGATGTGAAGAAATGGACTCCAAAGCGGATGTATACTCTTTTGGAGCGATAGGGAGAGAGAGAGAGAGAGAGAGAGAGAGAAGAGAGAGAGAGAGAGAGAGAGAGAGAGAGAAAGAGAGAGAGAGATCCCTACTGCACGTCGCTGGATAGGATAAACGCTCTTTTAAAGCGATAGGAGAGAAAGCCTTACTGAACTTTAACGTCGCCTGATAGGATAAACGCTCTTTTAAAGCGATTGAAGAGAGAGCCTTACTGAACTTTTACGTCGCCTGATAGGATAAACGCCCTTTTAAAGCGATAGGAGAGAGAGCCTTACTGAACTTTTACGTCGCCTGATAGGATAAACGCCCTTTTAAAGCGATAGGAGAGAGAGCCTTACTGAACTTTAACGTCGCCGGATAGGATAAACGCTCTTTTAAAAGGATAGGAGAGAAAGCCTTACTGAACTTGTACGCCACCTGATAGGATAAACGCCCTTTTTAAAGCGATAGGAGAGAAAGCCTTACTGAACTTTCACGTCGCCGGATAGGATAAACGCCCTTTTAAAGCGATAGGAGAGAAAGCCTTACTGAACTTTTACGTCGCCTGATAGGATAAACGCCCTTTTAAAGCGATAGGAGAGTGAGCTTTACTGAACTTTTACTTCGCCTGATAGGATAAACGCCCTTTTAAAGCGATAGGAGAGAAAGCCTTACTGAACTTTTACGTCGCCTGATAGAATAAACGCTCTCTTACAGCGATAGGAGAGAGAGCTTTACTGAACTTTCACGTCGCCGGATAGGATAAACGCCCTTTTAAAGCGATAGGAGAGAAAGCCTTACTGAACTTTTACGTCGCCGGATAGGATAAACGCCCTTTTAAAGCGATAGGAGAGTGAGCTTTACTGAACTTTTACTTCGCCTGATAGGATAAACGCCCTTTTAAAGCGATAGGAGAGAAAGCCTTACTGAACTTTAACATCGCCTGATAGGATAAACGCTCTTTTACAGCGATAGAAGAGAGAGCTTTACTGAACTTTCACGTCGCCGGATAGGATAAACGCCCTTTTAAAGCGATAGGAGAGAAAGCCTTACTGAACTTTTACGTCGCCGGATAGGATAAACGCCCTTTTAAAGCGATAGGAGAGTGAGCTTTACTGAACTTTTACTTCGCCTGATAGGATAAACGCCCTTTTAAAGCGATTGGAGAGAGAGCCTTACTGAACTTTTACTTCGCCTGATAGGATAAACGCCCTTTTAAAGCGATAGGAGAGAAAGCCTTACTGAACTTTAACGTCGCCGGATAGGATAAACGCTCTTTTCGAAACATCATGGAATGCAGGAAACCAATACGACGGATCTTGAAGATGAACACATTCAGATAAGCCATCCTTTCATGTCTTTAGTGCTTTAAAAATATGTGAAAGCATAATGTCAGTATTTAGTGCTTTCCCTCGATTTCGTACTACCAATCATTTTTTTAATCTGCAGTACCATGTATAGTACATCTTTCGATATCCTATGTTACCCTGGTTCATTCAAATTTAAATACTGAATTGTTATGGATTGGTTAATTTTCCAGTCAACTTTTCTGCCCGATATAAATACATAATTCCTTCCTATGGCGACAGACAATACACATACCGAGAAGGAAGACAGAATGAACATGGCGCTTTTTACAGCGGTGAAGGAAGGCGATCTTGTAAAGACAAGGTCTATTCTAGAAGACGAGACAAGTGATGCCAAGCTAGTCGTACTGCACAGTGTGGATCCTGATGGAAATACATCCCTTCACATCGCTTCGGAAGAAGGGCATATTGACCTCGTGACCTATTTGATTGATTTGGGGGCGGATCTAGAAAATCGAAGTAGAAGCGGTGACGCCCCTCTTCACCTCGCGTCTCGGAGTGGTCACCAGGATGTTGCTCAATATCTCATCGGTAAAGGAGCAGATATCAATATTGGTGATAGCAATGGCTATACACCTATCTATCTTGCTTCGGAGAAGGGTAATTTTGGTGTTGTTGAATGTTTAGTCGATTCTGGAGCAGATGTAAACAAAGCTTCATATAATGGTTCTACACCCATTTATACTTCAGCAAGTAAGGGTCACCTTGATGTTGTGAAATATCTCATAACTAAAGGAGTCGAAATTGACAGAGATAGTGGTGGTGGCTATACAAGTCTATATAGCGCTTTACAGGAGGGACATCTCGCCTTAGATAAATTTCTGGTAGATGCAGGAGCAGATGTGAACCGATTGATAAATGATGATTCGCCACTTCATGTCGCATCAGAAAATGGTTACCTGGACGTTGTTAAATGTCTCATCAGTGAAGGAGCCGAAATTGACAGAGATGGCGATGATGGCTATACACCTTTGCATCTCGCCTCACTGGAGGGTCACCTTACTGTTGTTGAATGTCTGGTAGATGCAGGAGCAGATGTAAATAAAAAAGCAAAAAATGAATGGACCCCTATGTATGCAGCATCTAATAAAGGTCATCTAGACATAGTGAAGTATCTGATTACAAGAGGAGCAGATATTGATAGGAGAGGTTATAACGGACAGACGCCCCTAGGTGTCGCATCAATTTATGGCCATCTTGCAGTTGTCAAGTATCTTACCAGTCAAAGAGCAGATAAAGACATGGGTGATAACGATGGATGTACACCTCTATATGCTGCTTCAAAGAAGGGTCATCACGATGTTGTACAATATCTAGTGAACGAAGGAGCAGAGGTGAACAAAGCAGCAAAGAGTGGTTCTACACCTCTGCATGTAGCATCTCATGAAGGTCATCTTGCAGCTGTCAAGTATCTTATTAGTCAAGGAGCAGATAAAGACATGGGTGATAAAAATGGCTATACACCTCTATATGATGCTTCACAGGAGGGTCATTACGATGTTGTACAATATCTAGTGAACGAAGGAGCAGAGGTGAACAAGGCAGCAAATGATGGTGATCTTTCCCTCCATTTTGCCGCTCGTCTGGGTCATCTAGACATAGTGAAGTATCTGATTGACAAAGGAGCAGATATTGTTAGGAGAGGTTATAACGGTAAGACGCCTCTTCATTTATCATCATTACTTGGCCATCTTGCAGTTGTCAAGTATCTTATCAGTCAAGGGGCAGATAAAGACATGGGTGATATAAATGGCTATACACCTCTATATGATGCTTCACAGGCGGGTCATTTCGATGTTGTACACTATCTAGTGAACGAAGGAGCAGAGGTGAACAAAGCAGCAAATAGTGGTAATCTATCCCTCCATACTGCCTCTCGTCGGGGTCATCTAGACATAGTGAAGTATCTGATTACAAGAGGAGCAGATATTAATAGTAGAGGTAATAACGGCAAGACGCCTCTTGGTGTCGCATCATTCTTTGGCCATCTTGCAGTTGTCAAATATATTATCAGTCAAAGAGCAGATAAAGACATGGGTGATACAAATGGCTATACACCTCTATATGATGCTTCACAGGAGGGTCATTACGATGTTGTACAATATCTAGTGAACGAAGGAGCAGAGGTGAACAAGGCAGCAAATTATGGTGATCTTTCCCTCCATTTTGCCGCTCGTCTGGGTCATCTAGACATAGTGAAGTATCTGATTGACAAAGGAGCAGATATTGTTAGGAGAGGTTATAACGGTAAGACGCCTCTTCATTTATCATCATTACTTGGCCATCTTGCAGTTGTCAAGTATCTTATCAGTCAAGGAGCAGATAAAGACATGGGTGATACAAATGGCTATACACCTCTATATGATGCTTCACAGGCGGGTCATCATGATGTTGTACAATATCTAGTGAACGAAGGAGTAGAGGTGAACAAAGGAGCAAATGGTGGTGATGTACCCCTCCATGTTGCCGCTGGTCTGGGTCATCTAGACATAGTGAAGTATCTGATTAACAAAGGAGCAGATATTGATAGGAAAGGTTATAACGGCAATACGCCTCTAGGTGTCGCATCATTCCATGGCCATCTTGCAGTTGTCAAGTATCTTATCAGTCAAGGAGCAGATAAAGACATGGGTGATAACAATGGCCATACACCTCTGTATTGTGCTTCACAGAAGGGTCATCACGATGTTGTACTATATCTACTGAACGAAGGAGCAGAGGTGAATAAAGCATCAAAGAAAGGTTATACACCTCTCTATTCAGCATCTTGTAAAGGGCATCTAGACATAGTGAAGGATCTGATTTCTCAAAGAGCAAATCCGAATTCTGGTAAAAACAATGGAGATACACCTCTAGATGCTGCTTCACAAGAGGGTCATCATGATGTTGTACAATATCTTGTGAACGAAGGAGCAGAGGTGAACAAAGAAACAAATGATGGTTATACATCTCTTTATGCAGCAGCTTATCAAGGTCATCTAGAAATAGTGAAGTATCTTATTTCTCAAAGAGCAAATCCGAATTCTGGTAAAAAAAATGGAGATACACCTCTAGATGCTGCTTCACAAGAGGGTCATCATGATGTTGTACAATATCTTGTGAACGAAGGAGCAGAGGTGAACAAAGGAGCAAATGATGGTAATATACCCCTCCATGCTGCCTCTCGTCGGGGTCATCTAGACATAGTGAAGTATCTGATCAGTCAAGGAGCAGATAAAGACATGGGTGATAAAGATGGCTATACACCTCTATATGCTGCTTCACAGGAGGGTCATCAGGATGTTGTACAATATCTAGTGAACGAAGGAGCAGAGGTGAACAAAGGAGCAAATGATGGTAATATACCCCTCCATCATGCCTCTCGTCGGGGTCATCTAGACATAGTGAAGTATCTGATCAGTCAAGGAGCAGATAAAGACATGGGTGACAACATAGGCCATACACCTCTATATGTTGCTTCAAAGGAGGGTCATCATGATGTTGTACAATATCTAGTGAACGAAGGAGCAGAGGTGAACAAAGCAGCAAAGAATGGACGGACACCTCTGTGGAAAGCAACTCATATAGGTCATCTAGACATAGTGAAACATCTGATTGACAAAGGAGCAGATATTGAGAGTAGAGGTTATAACGGTAAAACGCCTCTTGGTGTCGCATCATTCTCTGGCCATCTTGAAGTTGTCAAGTATCTCATCAGTCAAAGAGCAGATAAAGACATGGGTGATACAAATGGCTATACACCTCTATGTGATGCTTCACAGGAGGGTCATTACGATGTTGTACAATATCTAGTGAACGAAGGAGCAGAGGTGAACAAAGCAGTAAAGAGTGATTCCACACCTCTGCATGCCGCATCTCAAAAAGGTCATCTAGACATAATGAATTATCTGATTAGCAAAGGAGCAGATATTGATAAGAGAGGTTATAACGGCAATACGCCTCTAGTTTTTGCATCTTTCAATGGCCATCTTGCAGTTGTCAAGTATCTTATCAGTCAAGGGGCAGATAAAGAAATGGGTGATAACGATGGCTATACACCTCTATATGATGCTTCACAGGAGGGTCATCACGATGTTGTACAATATCTAGTGAACAAAGGAGCAGAGGTGAACAAAGCAGCAAATGATGGTGATCTACCCCTCCATGCTGCCGCTCGTATGGGTCATCTTGACGTTATAAAATATCTCATTACGAAAGGAGCAAATGTCGAGGCACATAATAATGACGGTTGGACAGTTTTTCATTTTTTGGCAGATAATGGTCATTTCGAATGTTTGAAATATTTCCTGAGAAATAACTCCACCAGTTCATCGGGATATAGTCTCATCGCTCTTAAGGTTGGACTTCAGGTGGGTTACTCAATTCAACCGGCTCTTTGTCTTACTAAATAGTCGAATCGTGTCGCGCTGGCCGTAATTTATTTAACCACCCATATTTGTGTGGTGTTTTTAAGTGTGCTGTATCAGATTGAAAATTATAGACGGGTCCTTAGGGATGAGTTACCCAATTTCAGGCTTTGAGATATACGAGTAAAGATTTAAAGTATACTAATGAAAGAATGTAGCTGAGAAAATTTAAATATTCCTTAATATTGAACCTCACACACACAACTTGTCGAACCGTTTTACTGTCCCAACGGTTTTATTTTGTTTTCTTTAAATAATAGGCCTGTTGATGAGACATTACTGCAGTCACTTACAACTACCCGCGTCACGTAAGTGGGAGGTAATTGTCCCAGGCATGATAATTATCATGGTGTCGTCATCCCTGGGGGGTGTTTCACAAAGATTCTAAGTTGAACTTATCTCTAAGTTGGACTTAAAAATTATGGAAAGCCATTAGCATCTTTGAAAATATTTTGTAAAAGTTATTTTGAAAGGCATTAATTGTTTATTCAAATCATCCATATTGTCTATTATCATCAAGGAGATTTCATGTTCTGGATGTGGAATTCATAAAAAGTCTAAAATACTTGAATTTCTGCTTTTGAATATTTCATTTTAAGACTCCAATGGCTGTCCATAATTTTTAAGTCCAACTTAGAGTTAAGTTCTACTTAGGATCTTTGTGAAACACCCCCCTGGTGTTATTGATCTTAAGTTATGACCGAGTTATGAATTAGGGTGTATAAAATTGGGAAGAGTGGAAATCAGAATAATAATACAAATCGTATTGGAAGAAATAATATTGGTGTTATAAATTCACTATTTATTTGAGATTATGTAGAGAACTATAAAGAAGATTCTCGAATTGAGCAAGAGAAGCTAAGCGATTCTAAACTTTTCACAATCTTTCATTAATTCGCTTTAAATCTTTAATTGAGAAAGCCTGAAATTTTGAAAATCATAATGAGAGGGACACGTTTTGATTTCCCCCTATAGAAAACACAAACACGTGTTTAAAAAAAAAGAAGAACAATACGAAAGGAAATGACCAGCGAGAAAAAAAAATGGGAGGACATTGTACAAGGTTTACGGTTATGCATATTAAACAAAACATTTGGAATTCGGAATGGCTAAAGGATCTTACAAGTGTCCTATCCCTTTTTTTTGCACAGAGCTTCTTAAATCGCATTGTAACGAAATAATTGTTCTAGCAGTGCTGAAGGTATGCGTTAAAAGAAATATAATCACTGTCGAATAAATACATTAAAAAAAGGAAAAGATGCTATTCTATCAACACAATGATCATCAAAGTCATAAGCATTCCATATTCTCCCTGATTGTCTCTTATGTAGGGCAAACTATATTAATCGATACATTTAGAGTAGGACTACATATGTATCGTATTTTAGACCTACTTAACAAATGTAAGCAGCGTACCAATATTATTTATCTTACAGACCTTAGAAGGTGTCACGCCACTAATGGTTGCCGCCAGGGGAGGACATCTGGACTGTGTACGTCTGCTGCTCGAAAACAATGCAGATATTGAGAAAGAAGATGCAGAGGGATGGACAGTCCTCCATTATGCTGCAGCAAGGTGAACCGTTTCAACAACATGTTCATAATTTAATAATAGTTCTAATCTTCTCCTCGACTGTATCACAAAATACTACTAGGGTTGAAATGTAATGTTGTTGCATTCGATAAAAACATTCATCCTTTTTATTCATGCAAAACATTTTTTCTTAGTTTTCTTGAAATGGTGCTTAATATGTTATTTCTTTGGATCCCATTTTAACGAAGGTTTATTAGCGCTTTCAAAGGACACGCAGAATAGAAAATGTATGAGATACAACCTAAATTTCAGCTACAATTAAATTACCTTTTATTGATACTTAGTTATGCAGTATGATTCCGAAAAAATATGATGTAAAAATAGGTAACTTTGAAAGCAAATATAATTTCGTCCATAATTTGAGAATCATGCTATGGTTAATTATAAACAGAACATTTACAAGGCTAATAAATACTTTGTACCTAAAGAAGCGATCTTAGATTCCAAATGTTAGTAATATATATAAGAATACAGTTTAAAATGAAAATAGTTCTCCGATGGTTAACGAAAAAAGACAAATGGAGAAGAAAAAAAACCCGTAAGAGCTACAAAATATACGAATTGAAGGCGTTAACCCTTTGTCAAGGAATTACAAATATATTCAGATTTATTTCAAAAAGTGAAAATGAGGCGTAACCGTTGCTAAGTGAGTACAGCTCACAAAATAAAGAGGATAAGTTTGTTAGAAAGAAAAACATGACGAAACAGAGAAAACTAGAAATAAAAGAAGAATGAGGTAGAGATGCGCGAGAATACCAAAACAAAGGAAAGGACTAGAAATGGGCGGAAAATGGAAGGGGAACGAAAGAAAAGCAGCGCGAGAGAAGAGAAAAGAAAGGAAGAGAGAGAAGGGGGGGGGGGTGAAAAAAAGAGAAAATGAGAAAAGATCCCCATAATAAAGCAGATTTACAGTACATGTATATTTAAATAATAAATAAATGTTCAAGATGTTTTTTTGTTTTTAATAAAGTGGAAATGAATCAATAATGAAGGATTTACTGGATCAGAAAGCAATTATGAGCACGAGACTTTCCAGAAGAGGTCAATCACCAATAAGTATTGCACTGAGATGTGGCAATGTTGACACTGCACGGATTCTTCTTGATAAGGTACATGTAGCTGTAACTCATTCAGCTTGTGTTGTTTATACTAATGACTTATGTCATATAGCTGATGCATTACTACCAGTACCACCGTCACCTATACTATACCTCCAATTACCGTTACACTTCATCAACAATAGTTTTGATTACTATACAGTTCTGCTATTAGACCTGCTGATAGTAATCCTAAATAAGTATCTTCTCTTTTATGATGGTTATAACAAGTCAATAGTAAATGTATATCACATTATTATATAATGATAATGATAGTAATGAATGTTCGACAATGTTTTATCTATCTAGTGTCATTATTTGTATATCTTCGACTTTATATTATGGATGGCGTTTAATATGAAGTTTATATATGTGTTCATATGATTATACAGACAAAAATCAAAATTCATAAAAGGCACATCACCATTGCATGACAATATCTAAATTCCATCAGTTATTTTTTTTTTCACAGGATGTATCATCTTTACATCACAGCGACAGTGCTGGTCTAACACCCATTCACCTTGCTACTATAAGCGGGCTAACATCAATCATTGAGAAGTTGATATCAGTAGGTGCTGGTTTAAATCCTCAGTCATACGATGGCCAGACGCCCTTACATGTTGCCATCAGACTATGCCACTGTAAGAAAAGACAGGTTGAAGTGACGACAGCTTTGAAGCAGGTTACGTTTTTCTTGATTTAGTTTCTCTTTAAGTGAGAACTGTTAGTGTATCTAAATGAATATCTGAATATGGGAAGGACAAGGTCCTTAATAGTGAACGTTATAAATATTTGTTGATATGTAATTTATAAAATAAATACCCTATCCGTTTGTTTTATTTGATACATATTTTTTAACGATCTTTTCACCAACTGATGCAATGAAACTTTTGTGAATGTGTGTGATGTGCGCGTGAGTAAATGTGTGGGAGCGGCCATAGAACGAAGGTTGGGGAGGAGGGGGGGGGGGGGGTTGTGGATGGAGGGGGTGGCTTAGTTGCGTTTAGTCTGTATATGTTGATCCATTATTAGTAGTAGTAATAGTAGCAGTAGTAGTATTAGGCCTATCAATATCATTATTATTACCATTATCACTACCATTATTATCATCATTATAATTTCATATTAAAAGCCGATAGTGCCATGTGAATAGATTGCTGCAAATATAAGGATCTTATCCCCTGTTACCGGTAGGAGTGTAGAAAAAACATTTAATCGAGACATTCTATTTTTGTATTATTGTTTTATTCAAAATATTCTAGTTCTTTTACCGTTCTCATTAACGAAATAGATACAACAAGAGAGTGAGGATGACTTATCACCTGCGGAGGCTCTGATACAATTCCTAATAAATCAAGGATCCAAGATCGACATCAAAGATAACAAAGGTTTTACTCCGGTACAGTATGCCAGAGAGGAGCGCATTAGGCAAATGGTATTCCGGAGGTAAGACAATTATAACAATTAGTTTACCAGGCTCTGTAAAATATGATTCAAGATTTAATTATTCAAAAATGAATCAATAAACTTGCGGAAATTATCTGGGTAATAAATGTTTACATTTTGTATAACATTCTTGTATGATTCAAATTCAGGTTCTCTGAAAGATTCGATTTTAATTTTCATAAGATTTGTCGGCCTCATATTTTATTTTGCTGCAAACAGCAGTCGTTATAGAATTATAATTGTGCATCATCACATAAATCAAAACAATGTTGATGCATGACTGTAATATAAAACATTATTTACTACGGCGTAAAACGTGGATGTATCTTAGGTTAAACATCACATTTCTAAATATACTCATACAATATATTTTTGGTTCTTTGGCAGCTTATCCGAAGATGATGTTCATATATTCCGGGGTACGTATTTCATCTAATTTTGAATTGTTTTACTACTCACTAAGATTGTTTTCAAGGGTCATTAAAGGAAAATGCTACCCCACCTGTACCCGTTTTATGCACATCGCCAAAGTAAAAACAAAAACAATAGTTTATGCGCTCTTTGTTTATACAAAACCAAAATACATATGTAATATCCTCTTTTGGATATGATAGTGCGGCGTTATTCTGCAATCGAATTCGATTTGACGATTCGTTAACTTATCAACCGTACAGCGTTGACAAAACGATGTCCTTTTTAGGCTATCCATAAGAGTAATAAGGAATGAGTAATCATTGAGCTGTCAATACCTCATACCATTCATCTTTTTTTTTTCCTTGTTTCTTCCCCCCCCCCTTTTTTTTTGTTTGTTTAGATCTGCCGATTGCAAGATCTACTGAAAGTCATCGCAGTATTGGCTGTGAAGGAGGGATTCTACGTTTGGATAGTTGTGACGTCACAATGTCGATTCCACCAAGGAGAGTGCAGGCTGGCTCTTGCCACGATGTATCAATAGCTCTAGTCATTGATGATCCCCCACCTATCCGAGAGAGAGAGTTTCTTACAGGCTATGGCATTGGCATCACATTCCCTGCACAGTGGCGCTATTCTACGAACCAGCCTATAACGTTAAGTCTCCCTCATGCCGCAACATTGCTGGAGTCAAACGATGTTCATGCTGGGATCATCTGGAAACAAACTGAATCAACTTCAGGTTAGTTGTCAATAGGAGGATGCAAGGGAGTTGTTATTAATACAAAATACCACTTTTCAAGACTCGCCACGTGAGATTCAAGTGGCCCCCATAAGTGGCGCAGTGAAACAGTTAATTCATAATAATATGTTTTTAACAACTTTTACAAATTATTTCGCATACATTGCTCACTCAGCTAGTTATATATTTCATCGAAACTCCATTTATATCATAATTTTCTCAATTGTATTAATAGCCTACTTATTAGCGTAAATGTTGTAAACTAGAAAATTTGCAACATATTGAAGAATGTTCAAAGCCATCACATCAATTAGGGTCTTACAAAAGAAAGCAAACCCTTACCTATTTTGAAATAGATTAATATCTGATTTTTTTTCTTCCAATATGCAATTACTTACAGTTAACCGTAATGAATCATTTGATGGAAGTGAAACGCAATGTATCATTAAAGAAAGGGAAATCAACCTCATCATAGATGCCAAATCTGTCATTAAGGACAAGGTACAGCTATGGATACCGATAGAGCTTCATCATGCTCATGGTAAACGAATGGCATGCACCCCTTTCCTTCCCGTTGACATGGCACATGGGGAAGACATCACACTCCGGATATACATACATGAAGACATACCTTACATTGTTCAGGTAATATGAGGAAATATATATATATATATATATATATATATATACACACATATATATCGAGGATCTTTATTTAAACTGTTTTATTTACTATTTCTTTAACCGTGATAGACGAAATATCCGACCAAAGTGAGTACACACTCTCTATTAAAACAAAAATGTTCCAATGAAACCGCTTAGTGAGCTACATTGTCAGCACGGTTATCATGGAAGAAATGTGTTGTACCTTAAATGTGTCACAGAATGCATAGTCTTTCATTGTCTTTAAGTCTTGTTTTTCATTCAATTTTGTAAATGGTTACTTAAAATGTTTAGCTGGAAATTGTTACATATATTTTATAATAATTAAAAAAACAATATTTCATAATTGTCAGATTGTTTACTTTTATAGTACAATTGTCTCTCTTGCAAAGTTGCACCCAGTATTAGTATCGGTCTAAAAAATAGAAATGTTTAACAACGGTCTCTTTATGTATTTGAACTCCAATTTCAAGACTATCCTTTCGTACAAATAACCTTTAAAATCACCTATTTCATGGTGTTTAAAAGACATATATCGTATCGTTTTGAAATTCATTATAATTTTTTGTCCAGACAAGAAGGAAATTCCTTTGAGTACAGTATGATACATCAAGAAAGCCACATTATAAAGCAAAACTCATTCTATTAACATGTGAATAGTGATCCAGATTCAGACAAGATTTTGGTGGAGACCCTGAAGATATTTTTTAATCTAGATAGTTAATAATAAAAAAAACAGTTTCATTAACTTAAACGTGTGAAACATTTCGAAGTAAATATTTTAGAACTGTTTAACAGATTTCTATCAAATGCAACATACTTTAATCTAATTCAACAATCGTAGTACACTGTTGGTCATAATGGTGGAATAATTATTTTTACCCCAATTTATTGAATGATTTTGACAATGATTTATTCCTAATAGATCTAGATAATAGTATACATTCTCAGATTTTATTGAATGACAATTGGGGAGTGTTTGTTTTGCGTGACTGCTAAAGCATGTGGGTGCTACTATGCTAATCAACTAGGGGACCTACGTCCAGTCATAACTGAGAGTAATGGGGATTAATGCCTTATAAAAGGGCACTGATATAGCACATCGACACGGTTTTGATCCTGGGGGCTCACAGTGACGAGGCCATTGCTTAGCCAATAAATCATGAATGTACGCAGCGGGCGCTAGGGTACGTCCACGCCCCCTCATAAACAAAAAACGAAGAAAATGCAATAAATTTTCAATAATTAATTGCATTTTGCCCCGACCCCCAACATAAACAAATCTTCTATGTGGGCGTGCCTTGGACCATAATGCAGGAATTTTTCCTGTTGAGGACTGCCGGGGAAATGCAATGAATTATTGAAAATTTATTGCATTTTCTTTTCTTTTTTTTGTGTGTGGGGGCGTCGACGTACCCTAGCGCCCGTTGCGTACATTCATGATTTATTGGCTAAGCAATGGCCTCGTTACTGTGAGCCCCCAGGATCAAAACCGTGTCGATGTGCTATATTAGTGCCCTTTTATGAGGCATAAATCCCCATTACTGTCAGTTATGAGTTAAGGACGTAGGTCCCCTAGTTGATTAGCATAGTAGCACCCACATGCTTTAGCCAGTCAGGCAAAAACAAACACTCCCCTATTTTCATTCAATACAATCTGAGAATGTATACTATTATCTAGTTCTATTAGGAATAAATCATTGTCAAAATCATTCAATAAATTGGGGTAAAAATAATAATTCCACCATTATGACCAACAGTGTAGGTTCACAATTACATTATAACTTTATGTATTTACAATTACATTATAACTTTATGTATTTACAATTACATTATAACTTTATGTATTTCAATCATTACATTTATAAAATGTGCTGTTACTGTTTTTGTGTATTTTTTTTAAAACAGAAAATTCAGGAAGAAGAGGAAAATTTTCTTTACCGTCAAGTACATCCTGGAAGATGTTTTGCACTTGAACCTGAGTCAAGTGATCTAGAGCTCGAATGCAATCGGAGAAAAAAGGTAAAAACTATTCTTAGGTTAGTTTTTCAACATTCGAAATTTCATTTAAAGATGTGCTTGGTACAAGGCATTAAATACAAAGAAACTTCCTCAGTGCTACTGTTAACGGCCTGCTCATGCCGAGTTAACTCTCAGTAAACTTCAATCAGGCTATGCCTCTATTTTAGGCTATGTTCGTGAGTGTATACTATATATATATGCACGTGCGTATCACAAACAAAAGTAGTTTTTTAAATCAGGATGTTTGTTTTGCGCTGCATTCGCTACTGGCTTAAAGCAAAAGTATAGGGTAAGTGTCAGGGTGGCATTTGGGATTTGGTTAGGTATAGGGCAAATATTAGGGTTATATTTTGTTTTACTTTTAGCCCACAGGGCTAAATTCGATAAGTGTTGTGGAGTAATCACGGCGTCTTTAGCATTGCCCCAATTCTGTTGGGAGTAAACAACACTAAATAATGTAAATATAATATTTTATCAGATCGTATCTGCGACAGAATTATTCAACCAGCAGAAGACACTAGTTCCGATGCCAATTACGACGGAAACCAATGCCAGAATGCAGATGATTAACATTTCGATTTCAGCAACAAGTACCAACCAACCAAATACCAGCATGGCGTTCATGGCTATACGGACTGGTTTGTCAATCTTCTTCTTCTTCTCCTCATCATTCTTCTCCTTCTCTCTCTCTCTCTCTTTCTTCTTCTTCTTTGTCAAATTCTCCATCTAATATTTCTTCTACTTCATCTTCTTTTAATTCCTTCCTTCTTTTCTCCTATTTCTCGTCCTTTTTAAACTATACTATAAACAACAGTATTTATAGCTTAAAATGTTTCAATTCTATCATTTTTATGGCATCCAGGATCACTGCATATTTTTCATTTATGTTATATTCTAAGATGTATCAATTTGTAAACTTGACGAAAACTTATCCGTGGGTGATTTTATAGTAGTAGTACAACAAAACATATTGCACGGTACCTTCAAGAACAAAGAATGAAATAGATTCTTGAATATCATGTATTTGTTATGTTTACGCACGTGTCATGCCACATTATCATCAATCGAAACTACTCTTGTTCCAATATGAAAAGTGGGTTAACTAGAACATTTTGTCATTTTCTCCAAGGATTCTCCACCGACATACACTCAAGCCTAGATGAGATTGTCCCCGGATCAAATACTGACCTTAGGTAAAATTACTCTAAGAAAACATATTTGTTTTACTTTTTGTGCCAATTCTATTTTGCTCATTATTATTACTACTATGCCTTGTCCCCTACATGGCCCGCTCTTAATCATTATTATTTTTGTTTACTATTAATGATTTTTTAATGTCGTTTGTGTCAGCTGAACAATATGAACCCCTTTACACGAGATAAAATACAATGCATTATGTTTTATTGAAAGAACCAATAGAGGAAAAATACAAAAATCTGGGATGCTAGAAAATGAAATTATCTAGCCTTACTAATAAATTAAATCAGGGCCTTTTCTCTCTTCTCCCTGCATTCCCATTTAAAGCAACGCTGAGGAAATTCAGAGTGAGGATTTCATCACAAAAGAGATGAACACTGATCAGTACTACCAACTTGGTCTAGCATTGGGTTTGTCCTACCAGACACTTGACGGCATACAGTTCAGAAGCAGACAGCATGAGGAGTCTGGGGTTTATACCAAAAATCAAAAAGCTGCTATCTTCATGATCCGCTATTGGAAATGCTTGCAGCACTCTGTCTCCATAAAAGACGATCCTCTAAGAGAAGTGTGGAAGTCTGTGAGCGATTCAAGACATTCAATCCCTGTTTTGGAACAAGGACGAAGATCGGGTAAGAACGCGCTAAATATTGAAACACAATTAAACACATCCTAAAACAATCCTGGGAATAAATAGAACCTTAAACATTGAGGGATCATAAAATCAAGTTTATTACTCGAATCCAATTGATCAATATGGTTAAAAAACATTTCTACACGGTCTCCGTTTTTTTACCTTCTCTATAAAGAAAATGAACCTGACAACATTTTGGAAGATGTCTTTGAAGGAGAATTCCCTCGTAAAGAATCAAGGACCGCTCTGACTGTAGGCCTACATGCTAATAAGGTAGAGGTGAGTGTTTCTACGCGGTAGGTGTCTGTCGTTAATATTTCCAGAAACGTAGCATGTACTTCCAAACCAGGGTCCCTTTGAATAAAACGTATACCACTGGTGGTAAGTTTGCCATCAGTATTAACTAACATGGCAACATAACTCAACAGCCAATCAAATCAAGATTTCCCTGGAATTTACCATTAATTGCAAAATCACCACAAATGGTAGGCTTTATGAAACGGGGCCAATATCTTTACCACTTATTCGTGGACTCGTCGTTACCAATTTGTATGTTGTGCATACATAGGCCTGCTTATGCCTAGGTCACATATAAACCGGGCCCCGTACGATTTTCCCTACCCGGCGGCTTGCCGTGGATTTAGAGACCGTACGGGAACCGTCCGATTTTCATTTCTACGGCATGTTTGGTCACATATTCTACGGCGCCCGGAAGGTTGCCCGGAGAAAATTGGTCGAGTGAAATGCAAGCGCACGTAAGGGTGCCGGCAGGATGCCGGCCGAGTGCCGGCCAGTAACCTTACGGGCTCCGTCCGATGAGCAGGTGTACCGATGGCTCCCAGAAGGTGCCCTGCCGGGGCCCGGTCGGGTGCCTTGAGGTGCACTGAACTACAGAGTGAGTCAGAAAAAATGTCACACTTTTTAAAAGTTGTAATGTTTGAAGTATAAATATTTATTCATGGGTTTCATGATATATCAAGATAGAGTTATCCTCCCAGTACATTTAGGTACCATTTTCATTCCGTGAGGGATCCGCACAGCCAATATTCATTTTAAATGGCCCCGGCCGGCAGACGCCTGTTGTTGTGCATATCACCCGGGGCTCTCGAGTGGCCCGTGAGGGCGCCGTAGGGTACACGTACGGAACCCTTGAGCACCGCAAAGCGCCCGTAAAGATTTTTCATGAGAATTGACCCCCAAAATCGCGAGGGGCCCGCATGGGACCCGTAAGGTGCCCTACGGGCCCTTTACGGGCTTTCTACGGTCTAACGGTCTGATAAAAACGCCGGGAGAATTGGGAGCAGCCAACTCAGCACCACGACGCCCGTACGGCTTAACAAACTGTCCCGGCGCCCGTAGGAACTTTACGGCAACCGGCCGGACACCGGCCGAAAATTCCCAAAATGTCTGTTTTTAATCGCCGTACGGGCCCCGGAGTGTATATGTGAAAGCCCCATAATAGGGCTTTCACATAGTAAGAGGGCACTTTTTATTTTTTGTTTGGTCTCGAAATTTGAAAAATTGACATTTTGTTCCGTAAAGGGGGGGGGGGGGGTAAGAGGACACTATTTATTTATTTTTTGGTCTCGAAATTTGAAAAAAATTACCATTTTGTTCCGTTAGGGGGAGGGGGGGGGGGGGGGGAAGGTCACCTTTTTTTAAATTTCAGCCATTGAATTTTAATTTTTTTTTTCGTTTATTTAGAAAAATAAAATAAAAACAAACTCAAAGGGGGGGGGGGGTTAACCTCAAAATCCCCCTGTGTACGCGCCTGATTCCCGACAAGGCCCACCCAAACTGTTACTCGGGAATTCTTCTTATCGTACGCAAAGTTGAGTGGCCGCTGTCCTCTTGGTGCATATTGGCGGATGTTGTGCTTATGGATATGATGATAATGATGATGATGATGATGACATGATGGTGGTACTGAATGTGTACAAAAGGGAAAGATTTTTAGGGTTATGCCACTTAAACATTAAGCGATCTTGATAAAAATCAATGCTCAATCAGAAAAGGGGTAATTATGAAACAATTGTCACCGTGTGTGTTGTGTTGTGTGTGTGCGTGCGTGTGAGCGTGTCTGACTGTCTTTGTTCAATGCACTGTTTTATTCCTCACCCAGTAATTTGGCGCAAGTGAGATCTGGCAGTCTTGAAAAGATTGTCTGATATTCAGTGCATGCAGAGATTCAAATGAAAATGGTACCTAAATGTACTGGGAGGATAACTCTATCACGATATATCATAAAACCCATGATTAAATATTCATACTTCAAACAATACAAATTTTGAAAAGTGTGACACTTTTTCTGACTCACTCTGTTGTTCAGTGCACCGCACGGCACCCGGCCGGGCCCCGGCAGGGCACCTTCCGGGAGCCATCGGTACACCTGCTCATCGGACGGAGCCCGTAAGGTTACCGGCCCGCACTCGGCCGGCACCCTGCCGGCACCCTTACGGGCGCCTTGCATTTCACCCGATCAATTTTCTCCGGGCTCCTCCCGGGCGCCGCAGAATATGTGACCAAACGTGACCCTACATCTGACAGGGCAGAAAGATAATCTCCGATTTAGGTAGGAGCCTTGATGGTTCGTGATCTACTATTAGTTTATCTTGCACTCATGTAGATGTGGATCTAGTATAGACACTGAATTTGAATTCGAGTCAATGAATTTGATGATATAATAGTTGGGAACATGTATACTCTATAAATGCGTTTGACACTAATCTGTCCCAAATAACATAGAAGGTGTCTAATCTATAACTTAAATAGGAGAAACAGCAAAGGGAGCATCGTAGAGAAAATTGTAATGAATAATCATTCTTTAATATGTCACAGAAATTCAAAAGAACCTCTCTTTCTCTCCGTCTCATTGTACTTATCTTTGTCAAAGGTATGTATCTTTCATTTTGTAAATTTGCTTAAACTTGTTTATGATTTGGGAAATATTGATTACAAACTTTATTTTGAGAAAAAAATAATGTTACCCTATAGTATTGCTGTAATTCAGTTATTTTTTTTCTTCATTATTTTTCCCTCCACAGGGATTTTATTGATTTTCATTTGCAACACATTAACAAACATATATCTAAGGTAATTTAAATTCATAATATAAATAAATGTACCTCTCAAGAAACAAATATTTGCTGATCTATTGAGTTAACCGAAGACAAACATATTTTCAATAATGTATTTCTGAAGTTCATGGAAAAAAAATATCGAAAAACAATATAATAGTCTCATATTATCGTTTGATTATTGGGCTATAACATTACATTGTTGTGATCATTGCTAATGATTTGGAAACCATATCTCATATTTGCAACACCTTGCCTTTTCGACAACTGGCGATGATTTTTCCCCCTCCACAGATTCCAGGAGCAAGGGGGCACTGGGCGGAGAGGCTTGATCATAAGCGACCTAACACTCCCAGTGTCAGAAGCGACTCCTCAAGCAGGTATAACATGACTTTGAAATGCGTTTCAAAGGGTATCATTAGTTTTTAGCTTCTATCAGGTACAGAAGAATTATAAAGGCGTTATAGCCTTTTGCCAAAAACACAATGTTTTTACCTTTACAACAGTGCAAATTAAACACACTTTAAGGAAACATTTTTACAGATCCAGGATGAATTTGGCGTTTATTGTAATTTGCGATAAAACTCTCTCCCTGTGACCCGAGACTAAAAACAAAATACGTTCGGATAAAAAAATCATAAGTAAATATAATTGCAGGACCTCAGGAAAAATAGCAATGAGGCTGATGAAGCTTTCATGGGTGAACAACAGTTTTATTATCATTATTATCATAATTATCGTTATCATTATTATGATCAATATTACCATTATTGTTATGGTTACATTATCATTATTATTATTTTTATTTTTATTATTATTATTATTGTTATTATTATTATAATTGTTATTATTACTATTATTATTTTTATTATTATTATTATTAGGAGTAGTAGTAGTAGTATTAGTAGTATTGTTGATGTTATTATTATTATCATCGTACAGTTACAGCACGTTGCTAGAGGAGGAGAAGGAGGTTCGCTTTCCGAAACGTTGTAAGTTGCCCTGTCTCCTACTAAAGTTCTTCTTCTAATGTTTAAATAACATAGAGTAAAAAGGGTGTAAATACCCTAGTTGTTTATTAATACTTAAGTCAATTTAATCAATTGGGAAGTATTTCTCAAAAGCATTAGGTGGGCCCGCTTCACGTATCCTGCTATTATATGCCATTTCAGCATTCAAAGGTAGTTTGTGAGTTAATTATAAGGTTCTTGCAAGGAGACACAAGATCATTTTTAGTATTTTGTGTCGAGTTTAAATATATTTGTTGAGTCTCGGACAGATATTTATAATAACGTTCACTTCTTTAATGTTCATTTCAGATGGCGAATACATTCCCCGTTCAGTTCGTGCACGTAGACGAACCTCCTCAACTTCTAAACACATACCTGACAGAGCTCATAGGTATATTGTCTGCTTTTTCCTTGTTTCCAATGGGCTAACCCTAAATTACATGTAATAAGAATTGCGAAAAATGAATTCAATTTGTTTATTACCACAAAACTAAAAAAGACAGTAAAATATGTAAAACAGAGCAGAAAAAAAATCAAAATATTACGTTCGAAATAAAAACATGCAGTACAGAACGATACATAACACAATAATTGAGTATATGTGGAGTGATTAGCAAAGGCCGAGGCCTAGTCAAGGGTAAATCCCCAGCCAGGTTGGGATATGACTTGTGTGTAATAATCACTTTATTTATGTTGACAACTTCTACACCTTTTTGGATATCATTTTCAAAAGCAAATACTGGATAGTTATATAAAACGTCAACATGACGATCAAATGAATCTCGTGTTAATAATAGAATCTTAGATTGCTATAGATGAAGCGTATCTTTTGTCTGTACCTGGATATTGCTTAACATTTTCCTACAATTTTGGTCTTTCATTTTTAGAGTTTTGAGTATTGACGAGCATCATGAAGATGAAGGTAGGCATCCCCTTTATATCTGTAATATTTTTACAGAATGGATCATATTTCAAAGCGCAGCAATTGAATAATTTTTACATGTTCGCCTTCATACAATGTCAATGAATCGATATTAAGACCCCTATTAATTAAAAATGAAATGCAAGTTTATAATGTATAACTTTACGTTTTATGTATTATTATTTATTCTTATTGTAAAATCAGTGTTTAAAAAGTCCAACTACCTCAAACGTTGCTAATTCTGTTCAGAAGTACTATTTTATTTCTGAAAAAAGGCACTATACAAATCCAGTAATAATTACGAGTAGTGTACCCAAAATCATTTACAGAAAAAGAGCGTTCCAAGCGAGCCATTTTCGCATGGATGGAAGCTGGACAAAGAGCAAAGCCGGCGGATTTCAGACCGCATGAGTACACTTCACAACCTACAGATGACGAGGGTCAGATGACAGAGTCTTTTCACCAAATCTCTTCACCGAGCGCCCCCCAGGAAGAAAGCCCAGTTCAAAATCCTGAATGCAGGGATGATTTGAGTGAGGATACTGACGTGATCCGACTAGAGAAGCATGGTATTGAAGTAAGAATTCCACCAAATGGAGCTTACAGCGCAAAAGATGTCACCGTCGAACCAATCTTTGACATTCCACCTGAGTTGGTGCTGAAGGAAACGGAAGCTATTATTTCCTTTGGCTTGAGAATGTCGCCCTCCGATGCAACCTTTGACAATCCGGTGACAGTAACGATGCCCCATTGTGGTATATTCACAAAGCCAGAGGCTGCAAAAGTCGTCACTTATTATCGAAAGAGTGGTAATGTCTGGTCTTTCTCATTGTCTCTCTCTCTCTCCTATCTGTCCCATTCATTAAACAAAAATTAATTTGTTCTTCCACCCCCTAAACAAAAAAACCCTTTAAACCCTAAGATATGAGGTAGTATTGGTTAAGATTGGGGAAAAGAGGGTAGAAATATCATTAATGGTTAGTGTTTAGAGAGGAAAATACATTGATGCTGACATTCTGTGATATAATGTAAAACAAATGAAATGCTTATTGCGGAACATATAGTTTTTGACATTAAAGTATAACATTTTCTTATTCTAAAGTTGTGCTAAAGTATTGGTAAACCTACGTTTACTAGATTTTCTTTCTTGATATTTTGCATGACTAGCTTCTGAAAGTTTTACAGCGATTCCTTCTTCCAACGGTAGCCCACGATGTGCTGTAAGACATCGCGACCTAGATGTCCACATAAACCACTTCTCCGAATTCTGGATTGTAGCTATCATCACATGGGTATTCATCGGAAAACGTGTTATTTGTACACCGTACATTCCAGTGTCAACTCCGAGAAATGCTGAACACGTGTTGTTTGTCCATGTAAGGAATGCAAACATTGAAAAAGAGGTTGGTTGTTTTCTCGTCTCAATTTCTCTTATTTTCTTCTTCTTTGCCCTTAATCATTATCTTCTTAATTTGCCTTCATAATATCCCTACTTTAGTCACGGACGGTCGTAAGTATTCATCGATTCAAGAGTAAACAGATGACATAGAGGTGTCATGGTGGTAAAGTTGGCCATTCACTTAACTTTCAATCAAAAAGGTGGGGGTTCGAATCACAGTCAGGCACTGAGGTCCTGTGACAAGACATTAATCCACATGTTCCAATCTTCATCCAGGTGCAAACGGGTACCTGGCAATGGTGATGTAATAATTAGTGGAGGGCCCGCAGAAAGAGAAGCATCAATACTGATGTACTTACCCTGGGTTTATAAGACCCAATTATTATATATCTTTTAAATACATTGCGTCTTCTAAAAAATTAGTTCTCTACTGGGCTATTTCGTGTCCTTGTTGGGCACGTTTGATCAATAAAAGGATTTTTTAAGAAACAATACTAATCATTGTTATTATGACTACTGTTATAACTATCACTTTACGTATTATTATTATTTTCAATATTATTATCATTATTATTAATTAAATATTTGTATGATCGTTGATATAAATATCTCTTGTGATGTTTACAGATTTTTGTTTTCACTAGATCCTCTTCTAATCTTTTGAATTCTAAACTTCTGTAGTTCTGAATTTATATGTTCATGTGTCAATACCCTTTCATTGTTTTTCCTTTTTTCTTCATACTCTCTCCCTCCATATAAATTATAGTTTACACTTTATTGGAAACACATTTGAACTTGAACTATTGAAAACCTTTTCTTAACTTTTAAGGTGCAGCCTGGATACATGGCTCCGATCACGGGAGAGCAATTCTTAGTTAGGTGGCGTTCTGGAGGGTTGAAGATTACTTGCCTAGAAAGCACCATGAAAGACAAGGCAAAGGTAACATTCAAACGAGCAGTTTAAATCAACCTATGCAACGTTTTCTTATATTTGGAATGCTAAGTATCGGTTGAGTTAATGGAAGTAAGACAATTAATGCCCAATATATATATATATTTTGTTTATAGAGTTGGAAAAATGCCTTCTTCGCAATTAGGCCTATATGTACTCAATAAATGTCCAGTTATAGAATCGAATGATATTTTTCTGAGCATCAGTTAATTGAGATATTTATCACTTTGTCACATAATGATAACCATAATTTGTCGATTCGAGAGTTAGGCAATTTATGGTTGGTTACATTCTGTTTTTGCAATTTCTTTTGCCCTAACCACTTAGCATTTCAATTGTCCAAATCAGTTGGTTACGTTTAAACTTAAATACAGTGGACAGTACGCTACCCAATTATAGTCATTTTTTTGCTCAAATTATTTTTAGTAATGGAAATTTGAATGTATGCAGAATAATAATAATAATAATAATAATAATAATAATAATAATAATAATAATAGTACGAACAATATATATATATCGCTTGTGACATAAATGCTTCAAAGCGCTGTACACAAATCAAGATTACTTCAAGAAAAATCAATATTACTAATATTACTAATAGAAATAACATAAATTAAATTACCAAAATGATCTACAATATATTTTGATAAATTAAATGGCTCTTGGAACTTTTTCATATCCCACATCTTTTTGTTTAGAAGAGATCTAACTACGATACAAATTCATTTTAGAAGTAGCTAGAAAAGAGATAAAGAGGGCCAGTCAGTATGTGGGTCATTCAAATACTTAAAAAACAACGGTAATCTGTCAGGGTATTAGGGATTTTCTCTGTTAAAAAGCAAGGACCAATTTTAGTGAATATTTTGTTTTCTCTTGTGAAGGAATGACGTTTTTGCCACGCACCATTTATATTGGATTTGTTAAATACAAATTTATTATGGAAATATTGTAATTTTGCTGTATACGAATCAACCCTTAAATATGTTACAATATTTATTTTCGCAATATAAAATAGTAGCATTTAGGTCTGACGGGTATGTCTAGGTTATTCTTAAATAATATATTCATAAATGAATACCCACACACACAAACACACAACCTCACACATAAACGCACGCACATATATGAATACATATGTACACACACGTATGCAGATATACATATATATATATATATATGATTTTTTTGTAGACTCTACAGGAAAGTGAGATTTGCCATCTGACAGAGCAAAAAGTGATGTTCCAAGTGGATACACGAACAACTAAAAAGAAGAAAGTGATATTACAGGTCATCTTGGAACAAAGAACAACAAAGGAGCTCTTGGTACCCATGCACTTAACAGGTAAATTACATCAAATAGATTCAAAGCGATCGAGAAATCCACAAATGTTGGCCATTCATTTAATCTGTCAGCGGCGAACACTTTAGTCTTGAAAGGTTGAGGGTATGTAGAAAAAACCGATACATCTTATGGACCTGTTTATATTTTACTTTCAAAGGTATCACCAAAGGTGTTGAAACTTCATAACATTTGATTGCAATGGTTACCTCCTGAATATAGAATAAATGAAATGTCCCTCGTCATTGACGGATGAGATTGAAGCGGGAATCTTGACTTCTCTATCTATTAAAAAAGCAATTGCCATCGGTATTTACTTTCAACGGCACTTTTTTTTAAGGAAGTTGTTTTCCTCATCACATTGTTTGAATTTTAAACCATGCACCGTCTTTTGTTACAGATGTGTAAACTCTTTGTCATGGACGTATATTATGAGTGTCATTGGCAGACATTAACTTAACGATTTTAGATTAAGAAAAGGCATGCCTATTGTGCGTTCTGTACTTTTTTGTTTAATTTAGATTTTTCTTATTATTTACACAAAACATGTATTTAGAAAGCGAGTTTTTAAATGAAATAGATAACATAATCATGATAATTATGCGGTTTTGCATGTACAGCATAGACAAAATCTGTAATCGCAAAAAGATAACTTTAGCCTTTCACTCTCCATGCACACACAATGAACCGGATCGATTTACGATGAAAACTCACCTACTGTTTGCGTTGTACTTTTTGTTTAATCTATATTATGTCTTACTTTTCCTTCCCCCTCCAATTTTAAGAAAGATGCTTAGGTGAGATGTAGGGATTTCGCTTACATTAATCACTACAAATATTTTAGATTAAAACTTGAAGTCACCAACATCAATGTTGATCGTTAGCGGATAACAACAAAATAATAACAATATGAGGTAACAAGATTTATTCTTTGAAACATGATTATGCTTTGTGATTAAATCGCAAATAAATGTCTAATGCAACCTGATTTTACAACTAATAACACGATCATAATGAATAAATATTTTTACGAAGTCAACAAAATTTCCTTTTCTTACAATCAGAAATAACCGAGACATCACTAGGAGACACCGTTTCCACAAGCCCGAGACCGTCGCCATCTACTTCAGCCGCTACTCCTGTTCAAGATGCATTAGCAGAAACCGGAGATGTTTCTACTGCTATAGCCAGGTTAGAATTCCTTCCTAATGGCTAAATGGCTAAATAATGGCTTTTTGATCATTCTTGATCAAGATGTCATTGATAGGATAGGATAAAACTTAGGAAATAATATTCCTTCCGTAAAATGTTCTTAGATATAAACTATAGCAAGCGTAGATCAAAAGTGTACAAACGAGATATGTTTGCGTTCTGATACAACGATTTTGCACTGTCTTTATCAACAACTAATATGGCTACAATTCAGACTTGTATTGAAAGGTGTATGATTATATCCCCCTTAAGAAACAAAAAGGGGAAACAAGTATAGAATAGAATAATATTTTCCGAATTTGAAGAAATTGGATCGTCCATTTTCACACGTATACTTAACATTGTTGATAACTCAGTATAAAAACGCAAAATCACACCAATATGTAAAATTTGGCCTTTAGATTACGTTCAGCCCCACCCCCAAAAAGGAGAAAATAATGAAGTAAATGAATACTCATGGTAATGATGACAATATAATTAAAAAAAGAAAATAAATAGATCAATATGATGATAATAACATGTAATATATAGATAAATCAATACAATTAAAAAATATTGCTTTACAAGGCTTCAAACATTCGAAGAGAGGAAGCATTTGATAAAACACCTGAAGGATGAACGCTCTAAAGGCCTTGAGAGCTTAGAAAAGAGTATATACCAAAACATAAAGAGAATTGAAATATAATTGACTAAATCTCCTATGACAAATCAAGCTTTAAAAATGAAATTATCAGAATACTTCTACCTAAATGAATGTAGAGCTGCTTATGGAAATTATAACAATACGACTAAGCATTTATGCTAATATGCATTTGTAACATTCCCTTTTTTCCAATTTCATTAACAAAGCATAGGCTGCTTCTGAGCCATGTTTTTTTCTTTTCTGGGAACGTATTATATCATTTCTAGCACCATATTATAAACAAACATTCTAGAAAAAAAATAATGATTAATTTATTTAAAAACAAATTTACCCATGACTCATAAACACATTTTCCCCCAGTGAAACGATGACAATCTGATGAACGAAAGAACATCCGTAAGAGGATGGTTGCTTTGTGGTCCACACACACACACGCACGCACACTCCCACACGCACATACACACCAATGACACATCAGGCTTTTTATTTACAGTTGTTTGTTTGTTATTATAACTTCAGGTTATGAGGATTATAATTATACCAAGGTTTTGATTCCCAGTCGCATCTCAAGCAGATGGGGTTTTATTTATTGAAGAGGCTAATAAAGTAGAACTTCATAGTCCATACATGCATGTATGTTGTTGAAAAGAGAAAAGAATGAAAGTAAGAACATTGAAACCGATATATGGTTTAATATTAAAAAGGTCTTGCTTGTACATTGTGATTTAAAGTGGACTTGCATGATATGATATGACCACTCAAATACAAACTTCACCAATGGCATCGAATGCTGATGTTTAGGAGTTGTTTGACAAGGAGTTGAGATTTTTTCATGGGCTTTTTTTATGCGCGAGA